CTCCCCCTCAATTTGGGGAAATTAGTTTAATGTGTTACCAATCAGAGTAGGATAATGAGAAATAAAACCAAATCTTAAAAACACCTTCCCAGCACCCCTTGCTTCTTCTCAGGCTAATCTTTACTCCTGATTTTCTCTACCTCCTCCCCCCTCAGCAACACAGGGGGATGGGGAGTGGGGGTTGTGGTCAGTCCATCACATGTATCTGCTACTCCTTCCTCCTCAGGGGAGGGCTCCTCACACTCTTCCCCTGCTCCAGCGTGGGGTCCCTCCCATGGGAGACAGTCCTCCACAAATTTCTCCCTCCCACAGGCTGCAGTTCTTTATTAACTGCTCTAGCATGGGTCCCTTCCATGGGGTGCAGTCCTTCAGGCACAGACTGCTCCAGTATGGGTCCTCCATGGGTTCACAAGTCCTGCTCCAGCGTGGGCCCCTCTCTTCATCGGTCCACAGGTCTTGCCAGGATCTTGCTCCAGCGTGGGCTTCCCATGGGGCTCACAGTGTCCTTTGGGCATCCACTTGCTCTGATATGGAATCCTCCAGGGGCTGCAGGTGGAGATCTGCTCCACCATTACCTTCCATGGCTGCAGGGGCACAGCTGCCTCACTGTGGGCTGCACCAAGGGTTCCAGGGGAATCTCTACTCCAGGCCCTGGAGCACCTCCTGCCCCTCCTTCCTCACTGACCTTGATGTTTGCGTAGTTGTTTCTCTCACATTTCTTTCACATTTCTCTCACTTCTCTCTCCAGCTATAATTGTGCAGTTGTTTGCTGTTTTTTCCCCTCCTTCTTAACTGTGTTATCCCAGAGGCACTAGCACTGTCACTGATGGGCTCGGACTTGGCCAGCGGCAGGGCCATCCTTGAGCTCGCTGGCATTGGCTCTGTGGGATGTAGGGGAAGTCTCTAGCAGCTTCTCAATGAAGCTGCCCCTGTAGCTGCCCCACTACCAAAACATTGCCCTGCAAACCCAATACAGCCAGTCAAGGCAAGAGTGGAGGAGAGCTCCATTTCTCCTGTTACAATTGGAGTTACAACTCCTTTGAACTATCAAGTCTGGCTGACTGGTGTATTTGTTTGGCTGAATATCTATGTCTGCTTGACATGGCAAATTAAATTGCCCAGGTTTATCTGCATTGCTTTTGAAGCCATGTTGACTGCAGCTTTAAGAACAGTGAAGTATGAAGATACTTAAGGGCTTTGAAGAATGGTAACACTTGCTCTGTCATTTAACCATGCTGAGGTGCTTAAGAGAAGAAATCTGCTTGAATTAGTGAAATACGCAAAGCAAGTTATGATCGTGTACATGTAATTAATTACATTGTTCCCAAAATCCTAGTCCTTGAATTCCTATTTGTTGTTCACTTAAGGAGGAATTGTGTGTAGTTTTTGTTTTGTATGCAAGGAATGCTTGCTATACTGAAATTATTTTTGTTCGCTATTAAGGTGGTAATGGATCAGGAGCAACCAAATGGGAGGTCTCCATCTGGGAGAGCGTATTGAGTTCATGTGCCCCTTTGAGGCAGGCTGCACCTGCCAGGAAAGCTCTGCTGTCTCCACTTCAGTGAGCAGGGGCTTTTTCTCTTGACAGGACACCGAGTTCACATGCTTGCAAGGGCTGCGAGGCCAGGCAAAGAAACTGAGTTCCCAATCATCTTTTTAACTTTTATTAGGCCACAGTCATTGCTGGTTTATCCACAATGATGGGCAGGATCACTTTTCTACAGAGCAAGTCAAAGTAAAGCACGTCAGCCTGAAAGCATGATTTGACAGATCAGCTAAGCTGCTCTAACAGTGAGTTGGTACCAAAAGCATCGGTCCCACTGAACCCACCTTTAACCCACTGTTCCTTCTGTCAGATACAGCAGTTATGTGGGTCACAGGGTGAGTCATTTTGTCTAGCTGTTTTGATACATAAAAGGTATCTTTTTTTTTCTATCAGTTGGACTGATTCATGTGTCACTTCACAGACACTAGATTTGGCACGAGGAAAAGGGCTAGAGCATGAGACTAGGGTCTAAGGGGTCAGGGACAGAAAGAGGACGACTGCCTCTTTAGTAGCCATTTGCTCCTAAAGCCAACATAAAGGCACCAAGTGCAAATTAAACCAAACTGGCAAATTATTTATGAAAAGGTTGCTGAACTCAAAACTCTTGTGGAAAAATATTTGTGTTGAAATATACAAGTGGTGACGTAGCCTTTACCGTGTTTTAATTTTGTGTTAAACAGGAGGTCATACTAGAGGTGGTCCCAGTGACCTCTGTCAGCTTATGTGTTGGTAGATGGAGTACCCTTTTGTCCAGCACATTGTGGAATACTGCCTGTAAATTCTGAAGTAAAAAATACTGATTTGCTGAAGTCAAAATTCTTCATAGAAATGTATTGATTTTTGACAAAATTTCCTGTTAGAATTGAATGAAAAATTTGTCTTGGAAAAGGTCAAAGCATTTTCCTTTGACTGTATCATCTTGATTTTCATAAGCGGCAACAGAATGTCTCATCATATAAATGACAGTGCCCAGTAAAATTTAAAACAGTGAAGTTCAAATAATTCTGTTTGATCTTGAGAAAAAGTAATCGACAGGCAAAGCTTTTTGAGGGGGGGCATTTCGTCTTGGGAAATCTCAGCTCTTTGCTCTGACTCAGGATGAAATAAGATTTCTCAAATGTCACTTCGCTTGAATTGGAATTGTGAATTTTCACACACAGTTCTGTGAAATTGTTTGTGGCAGTAGGTTTCTGGAGGTGTGCCACTTATACCAGTTCAGGTTATACCCATTTTTATTATCTAGTCTTGTCAGAACTCTTTATCTTAGCATGAACTGCAAAGGTCATCCTTGTAAACTACTTACACTGTGATGTAAAGTCAGACATGTGAATCTATGATACACTCTGGAAAAACAGAGAACACTCAATCGGTCTAAAGTAGGTTATGGAAATAGGCCACTTTATCTTTAGAAATACTGGATGGCAAGTTATGTGGACATGGTCTGAATGAAGGAGTGTTTAATCTACTTTTTAAATTTAATTTTGATTCCTCATTAAAAGTTATGTCCCAGGAGCTGTGTGCTTTCTTACTTAGCTTTCATAGTTGATCCTTTCTAAAAATCTTTTATAATCTATAAAGTTTAGCTCTGGGTTATAATGTGTTGAGTTTGCACTGTTTCATCATCAGAGAACGTGCTGATGTCAAACACTCTTTGATGAGCTCGTGTTCTCCTGCTTTGGTCCTTTTGTCTGGCTCCTTATAAACTAGACAGGAAGTTAATATGTTGGGCAATACTGTGGACACACTAATTTTGTTAGTATGATGTGACTAGGTTTCTATGAAGTGCTGTAAAACTGATATAGTTCGTGTCAAAGAAAATTGCTTTAATATAAGGATAAACTTGAAGGGAATCTGAATGATTCACTCTCTGAGTAAGGCTTGAAGAATTTCTTAAGCTAGTTCAAGTCTTTTACAGCTATTTTGCATTATAAAAGTGCTGAAAAGCCTTACCTAAACTATTATGCACTGAACTGTACAGTTTAGGAAAATCTGTGTCTCAGAGAATCTACAATTCAGGTGGACAGACAGACAAAAGGATGAGAAGAAATGGAGGTATAGAACAGTGTGTCCCTGAATGAAGATGGCACTGATCAGGGTGCAGTGGCAGTGGGCTGGAATCCAAGTCTCATTCTCATCCAGCCCCTTGTGCTGAGGGATAATACTGAGTCTGACATGAATGAAAACATTTCTGATGAAGTTAGAAGGCCTGTGGTCAGGTAGACCTCTCACCATAAAAAACCCCAATGTTATTCCTGTCCTCTTGGTTTATTTGAAGCGAGCACCGTAATTGTGGTAGCCACCACACACAGACTTGGATAGGTCTTGGCTATTGCGAATGCACTTGTACTCCAGAAGGCAAAGGATTTTGACCCTTCTGCTTCTCTGCATTACCTAGGAAATCAACATGGCAAGAGAAGCTTTTACATTTCAACACTTTGAAACTGTCAGTGGTATTTTAAATAAATTATTTTAACTAAGATGGCTATTTCGGAGCATCCTGCTGTCGGACGCCATCTGTTTGGTAAGCGTCATCATCTGTGACTTCTGCAGTGTGGGAACCAAATGTCAGACTGTCAAAGCGTTTTCCATCATCCTCTAATTCTGGCTGTACAGAAAGCCTATTTATTCACTTTACTTAAATAGTGTACAGTAGACTTCTTAAGCTTTTTAGTTGAGCCAGGATTATGGTCAAGTGAAAACTGTAATCTTTCTACAGCCAAATTTCCTCAGACCAGGTATTTTTCATAGAATTAAGGCATAGATTTAGTCAAATAAAGCTATCTAAGAAAAATCAGATGTTGTCCTGTTAATCCCTACTAACTGTCAGTGTACTAGGTACATTTTTTTGAGCGTGTTCTCAGCTGTATATCATTCTTTCAGGTATAAAATTAACGTCTGATCTCTCCTGGCCACTTAATGTTTTGTGGATGTTTCCATAAACATATAGTGTTGATCCAGCCATTTTAAAGAAAGCATTTTTGCTTATCTGAACTGTCTTTTCATCCTAAAGCTACAGTGTTGTTTTGCATTTCTGGGTCTGGTTCTCAAATATTTGGGTTTCTCCAATTGAAAGTTCAGTAATTGTGTTTTTGTTTCATCTCTCTTGATTTTCTGTTTTTTTTAGAATTCTGTATACATCTCATGCTTATGATATGTGGAGTCCCAGTTAAACTAGGCAGTATGTGGGAAGAACATGGACAAAGTTTATGGGTAGAGTTCGGTAAAATACTTTGATTCTGATTGGTGACATTATTCATTCTATCAAGCAGGGGCGGACAGCCAGTGTGATACTGTTATAGCTTTTGTATTGTAGAAGAACAAAGAACACATGGTTGTATAATTGTTGGTTTTTTTTCTTCTTTTTCCTGAATTGGTGTGAAAATTGGATCTTTTTCCCCCCTTCTACTCACATGTCTGAATTTCATAAACCAGATTAACAATCATCTTTTCTTAGGAAAATGCTGTGAATGGAGAGCATCTGTGGCTGGAGACAAATGTTTCAGGGGATCTCTGCTACCTGGGGGAGGAAAGCTGCCAAGTCAAATTCTCAGTGAGTTATTTTCAGATTTCCTTCTCTCTTTCCGAGATAACAAGCCTGACTTTAGGCTGATACTCAGAAGCTTGGAAGTTTGAATTGCTTACTGCCGTTGGTGGTGCTTGTGTTCCAGGATGCAAAAGGGACAGATGGCTGCTGGTTAAATACTTTATTACTTGGAAAAAAAGCCTCAAACAATTTCGGGTGACCCGGATTATTTACACAATGAGTATGAATGTAGTGGGTAGCTTTATTAACATGGTAAGGAAAAAAAAAGGTTAGAACACTGAAATATTCAGAAATGTTCAAAGAAGGTAGCCTAATTTGTTTATATACACACATATATCACTTGCTGGGGTGTCTGAAAGAGAGTGGGGTCTAATGAATTTTTTTGTAATTTTAATCACTGCAAGGATCTGAACTGAATTTTCCAAGCTCTTGAGTGCACTCACCAGAATGAGTGCACTCATAATTCACATGTGTGTCCTCTCCTGTTGGAGAATATTCGAGGTTTGCCTTCTCTGTTGAAGTTTTCTGCTGTGTATGAAAAAGTTTCATTGGTTTGATCTCTAACTCATGTGTCTCTATTCTTTGACTATGGAGTCACTGTTATACTTCCAGTCTGCTTCAGCAACTCTTCACTTACCTAGTACTTCAGTTCAACTGCTTCAGCAGAAGAGATTAAAAAAACCCCCTCTTACCCTGATATTTAGGAAGCTTGGTGAGAGAGTGGAGGTCCTGCAGTCAAGCCCCTGCTTTCAATCAGCACTCAAGGGAGTGTCCTGGCCTTCAGACTGCAAAGTGTAAGGGGAGTCCCTCTTCTCTGGGGTGTTATCTGTGGATAGTGCCTATAATTCTGTGATGCCATCTTTTTTTGCTTTTATTAAAAAACAAACAAACAAAAAACTCCACAAATGATTTGATCCAAATTGAAGCATTTTGATTCACCAGTCACCTCCACTTTTTGGGGTGCTTTGATCCAGAACACTAGTGCTTTTCATATCTCTAATTTACCTTTCATCCTCCATAACTTCTCAAGTAAATTGTTACTTTTTGGCATATAACGTTAAGGCGAGGCCAGGGAACTGTGTGCCTGTTTACAAAGACTGCTGATGCACATTCAACAGTAACAGACTGCTGATTGTGGGGTAATAATCAAGGGAAGTGCCATTGCACTTATATTGGTCCTGAGGCACTGGGTTCTGGCAAAAGCTGGAGACAGGATTTGTTTGGCTGTGTGGACCTTTTGTCTGACCCAGTACAACTGTTCTTATGTTCAAAGTTTGCCATTCTGAAACTGAGTAAATACTTCCTTCTGATTTAGCTCATTGAAAATAGCATGGGAATTTAGTAATGTGTTGCATTCAATTTGCAAGGCTGTGTCTTCACTTTAGAGGTGTATCTCTCTAGGAGTTGGAAGCACTGTTTGCAGTAAGCTGGTGAATTAGACCCCACTGACTTACACTATTATCTGGGAATGCTGGGAGACATTTTACGTGGTGACAAGCTTTTCCAGCTAATAAGCCTACAGTAGAGTTTAAACTTACTCAATTCTATAATTGCCTGGCCTTTGCTTGACCTGAGATTCTTCTACTTCACTTTCAGGTACTAGTGTATTGGTTCCCTTTGGGGAAAGCGATATCTATGTTTATAACATGTATAATGTATGGGACTTTCATTACCTTAAGGACTAGAAATGGAAATGGAAATCCAGTTAACATTAGTTGTGGTTGGTTTAACCTGGCCTGTGAAAAAGCTAATACTTTTCCAGTTTCATTCTTTTGAAGACACTGCATCTTTCTATGCCTGTCCTGGTCTTCCTTTGACTTAGCTCTTTTACATGTAGACTATTTAAGATCAAACATTTTCAGTGGAGTAGTGGTGAGAAATAATTAAGCTGTAGCTGCACAGACATCATAAAATGTTAGCCTATACAGAACATTAATTTATAATCTCGGGAATATGGAGTTGACATTTCATGATAAATCAAAGAAGTTAGAAGTAGGGGAAAAGATGGAATTTTTACTAGCCTCGGGTTGTAACTTTTTTTGTTGCAATGTCATCAGCATTCAAAACTCAGGAGAACAACTTAAAAAACAAGATATTAAAAAAATAGCTGCTCATAAGGTCTTACCTTGTTTTGCTTTTTTGCAGTTTTTAATCTTAGGGATTGATTCCTTTATGTTGTCTCACTCTAGGTAAAAACAGAGACAAAAACTGTAAACTTAACAAGTCACAAATCACATGAAATCTTAGTCTATTATACAATGACGTGATTCTTCCAGTGAAACATTAGAACAATGTTCCACATACGTGTGAGCACGTACAGTTAGGGTGTATCTAGATAATTATGAGACTCATAGTTATGAGACAGTAAAATTATAATAATTATTCTGTAATGTGAGTCAAAGCTGGGCTCCCTGTTTCTTCTTGAGTTTACAATATATTGAAAATTCTAAAGAAATTATTTATTAGATATTTAAATGAACATTGATAAATTGAATGTAAAAATCTGAAGCAAATAAATCTCAATTTATCGTGTGTTTATAAATTTTCTGTCCCTCAAGCACAAGTCTGTAAGTTAAACTTCTATGAAAAATAATTCCTTCTGGTTTATTAAATTGAGTATATGCAAGAAAAAAAAAAAGTAAATATATTCTCTCTTTCTCCTGGATGCATTCTCTTGCCTTTGATATGCTTTAGCCCAGGGGATTCAATGGAAATTATTTTAAAAGCCCTACTGAAATTAATAAAACTAACCAGCATAATTAAGTTGAGAATTTTGTCCCTGTTGTAATATTTCATAAACATTTAAGAACATTGTGTGAGAAGATTATAATTCTGTGCTAAATGACCCAAGTACTCAAGTGTTTTTCTGCAAGGCAGTGGTCAGGCCCATGAAATTAAATATCATATGATAGGAATGAAATGACCTACTCTTCCAAACTGCTTTGAGTTCTCCGATTTGCATGTATGTTTTTTCTCCTCTTTTCACTGTCTCTGCTTATCATCTTCATAGGCTGCTCGCTTTTAGAGTGATGATCTGCACTGTTAGCAGCCTTATCTGCTACCTAAAGAGAACCTTTTTACTTATAGTTCACCAGCTGGAGCACTGTGGCTCTGTCTTTTTCAGAAAGTCCAAATCTTAACTGGAAGAGCTTCAGAGCTTTTTTCAATATACAGAACAGTTGAGAGCAACAATAGAGGGGAAAAAATATCTGTTGCATAAAGAGCAAAACATCTTCTATTTCACAGTTAATTTTTTCCTCCTGGAGATAGCGCACTTCCATGGACATGCATCTTCCTTTTCTTTTGCAGAAATCTGCTCTGCGGAGGAAGTGTGCAGCCTGCAAGATTGTGGTCCACAATGCGTGCATGGAGCAGTTGGAGAAGGTAAGACATTGCCATCTTCTGGAGCCTAATGCAGACGACAACACTCATTTAATTCTTTTACTGAGGTTTCAGTCTGGAAAACACTATATACCAAAGTAGGTTTTCATAGCTGCTTTGACAATATATTTGTTAAAAAGTTGATTTAAAATTCCAGCTTATTTTAAAAATATATTTCTTCAAACTTGTAAACTATTAAAAAAAGCCCCCTGAAAACAAAAAAACACAGAATGCTTTCATATTTTTTGTGACTAAAAATAATTTCCCTCTACTTCTAGACTGAAAATTGAAGCTAGAAAATGCAGTATCCTTTCATGCACAAAATTGGCCTTTCAAAATTCCTCAACTAAACCCATCATAATTCATCTTATGACAGCTATATTTATTATGAGCAATGCAGCATAAGATGCTGCTGTGAGCATTTTTCACTGTGTTTACTAGACTATACTGTTTTGGCCTCAAAACCTCAGAAATTAAGTTCTTGTTTTTAAAATGGAAAATATCACACCTGTCCTTTATAGAACCATTATTTCTGTGAACATCTGTCCTGTTTCTCAGTTCCTTCAAGGAGCCTTCCTTACCTCCAAGCACCTACAGAATATCTACCACTGAGTTCTCTTCACATCAGTGATTCTTTTTCATTATGCCTAACTGTTAATGTGTTAAAGAAATTTTCCCCCACTGTTTTTCTTCCTTGGTGGGATATGTGTAAAAGAAATATGATTGGGAATTTCCCCATTCATTTCATTAGAGCTTCATTTTCACTTCTATATGTTTTACAATGTTGTTCTCCATAAAAGAAATTGATGCATAACAAATTTACAGCAGCAACCCTTTGGAAAGAGTTTTTCCTTTCCAAGTATTTGGACTGGTGTTGACAAATGTTACAGTGATTGCCATAATACCAAGTTGGAGAGGTACCATTTCCACCCCCGATGCTTTTACCCACGGTGAAATTAGCATTAGCACACGCTTTCAGGACAAAATGATACCAGTGAATTTTTCATGACTTTCTACATCAGCAGCAGTGCTGACTCCATAGCCCAGTGAGCTGTGGCATTGCCAGGCAGAGCAAATGAGCATTTAGATAACACTCATTCTGTTGAGCTTGTTTAGGCCGTTCTGGAGACAACGAAATTCACTTCTTGACAGCGGGTTGTTACAAGGTCTGCATCTCTCTCAAACCCTGTGGAGTTTAAAACTGGTACATAGATCTTCTGGTTGTCCCTCTCTGCAAGGATGTAAGTTGTAAGTGAAAGAAATACAGGCTGGGGGTCTTTCTAGCCTGCCACAACACAGTGGTGAAACAGTGAATTGCAATTCCAGGTGAAGAGCGATGGAGGAAGACTAATATTGCTATGGCTTTTATTTCTTCTTAAGTAACAAGTATTTTATCCACTTTTAAATCTTTTTTTTCCTCTCTCCCTGTCCCTTAAGCTATTATTTAGAAAGCCATTATTAAATGAAGGAAGAACTTATTTATATGGGAAGGATTGTATTTAAATTTAGGGAAACTCGATCCTTCTGCCTTCATGACAGAAGTATCTTTAAACATTTTATTATTTGAAGGCTAGTCAACTTAATCTTGAATCCATCTCATTTAGTGCATCCTTACCTCACATATTGTGTGGCCTTTTCACATGCTTCTATTTTCTTCAGTATATTTTTTTTTCCTCTTTACATGCCACCTGCTCTTATTTCTGTTGATATTTTTTCTCAAAAGATTTTGGGCTTTTCTCATAGGACTCCCTCTCTTCACCTTCCTAAAAATGTTTTCTGTTCATGGAAGCTCCTGTTGTCCTCTTTTTATCTTTCCTCTCCCATCTGAAGAAGGCAACACCACTGCACGAGGCAGTGTAATGCTCCCCAAATGGTTTGTGATTGAGGAGGTGGATGAAAGCAGCCTGATCTGAGCAAAAGGTAGACATTTAGGGTAATTTGCACAGTTCTTCATGTGAAGAAAGATTTCTCCACAGATTTTATTGACTTAAAGCTGGGATGTGTGAGAATGTTTTACAGAGTTAGATTTACAGCTCCTATTAAGACCTCAGTTAAAGTTCCACTTTGGTTGTAAATTATCTTAAAAAAAAAAAAAAAAAAAAAAAAAAAGACAAACCCAAAACAGATGAAGCAGTTTCCTTCTAGGTAAGGGGGAGACAGTTTAAATAGTTGAACTGAGCAGGCAAAAATAGCATTAGTGAAGATGAGGATTGTGTAGAGATGTAGCAAGGAAAATTATTGTGGCATATGAAAATAGATTTTCTGGCATTCAGATAAGTTACTTTGTTCAGCTAGTGAAGCTAATATTTTAATAGATAATAAATGTTTCGGGAGTCTGGCCTAGATCAACATATTGGAATAAATTATCTTTCAGCTCACTTTCAGTTCTAACAGCTTTATTTTAATGCTAGATTAATTTTCGCTGCAAACCGACTTTCCGAGAAGGAGGCTCCAGATCTCCAAGAGAAGTAAGTAATGGACAAATGATGATTGTTTTTCATTTTATTTGTGTGGTGATTCACCAGGTGTAGAGCTACAGCAGTGCTTTTAGATTCAGAGGAGTCTTAGACAGAGTACTGGTTTCCCATGGGACATGTTCTCCTCCCCAGAATAAATGTAAAATGAATTCTAGCTGAAGGACTCCATTACTTACACTGAGAGAAACCATTTTGTCTTCCTGTTGTCTCTTTTCCCATTCATTCTGCTATTCTGTCTTTTTTTTTTTTTTTTTTTGGTGGGTAGCATTTGTTTTTTTTCTTCCTGACCTTTGAACAAGTATTTTTTATTTTGTCTACTCCCTCTCCTTCCACTTACCTCTTCTACCTTTTTTTTTTTCTAGAAGTATCTCTAGTGTCCTAAGATTTTTGTTAGTTAAAAAAAAATAAAAAAATCAAACATTCAAAACCCTTATGATGTGTGACCAGCTACGGTATGAGTTCAACTCCTTTGAAGGTTTTGGACATTTATTGTTCTTATTGCTATATTTATATCTGTCCTACATTGTAAGAAGCCACTGTTTAAATAAAAAAAGGCATCCTGGCCAAAATAGTTGAAACTTACTTTACACATTAGAGGTTTTTTTTTTTTTTTAAATAAAAAACGGGGAAAAACCCCACTTCTTAACTTTTATAGTTGGTTTGGTGGCCAGCTTGCTCTTAGCAGAGGTAGCTCAATTCCGTGCCACACTGATGGTTCAGTGTTTGCTGGCATATAACAGCATGGCATAGGCAGAGCCCTTCTAGCCCCCTTGCCTGCACAGAAAGAGGGGCAGCAGTTCTGCTCACCCTCCTGTCTCTTGCCCACCTCTTGCTGCCACCCAGGTTGTAGGTAGTCCAAACAGGAAGAAAAGACTGCTTCAATGACTGCTCCTTCCTCACCTCCTCCCCTTCTCCTCCATTGACTTGTGATTTTTTTGGGTTATAAGGCTGTGTTTCCAAGCAGAACAGAGCAGTGCCCCGCGTTGTGCCTGAACACGGCAGCGTTTGGGCACTTCTGTGCTCTGTATTCAGGTGTTTGTTGTCTCTGCATCATGTAATGAACTTTCTTCTTTTTGTAGAGGAGTGCTAAGAGAGTAGTTCTGGCCACTTTTCAACATGGATGAAGAACACAATCTCATTCTTATTCCTCCTGCAGCTTTGGTTGTGTCTGGGGTTTCCTGTGGGGACTGCTGCATTTTGCTCCAGAAATGACTGCATTGGCTGAAAGGACCTTTAATATCTCTAGATCAAATTCACACAGACGGTACCTTTGAGTGCAAGCTGTCATTGCTTCCTATAACATTTTTTGTTCTTTTGCAGAACTTTGTCCGACACCACTGGGTGCACAGGCGGAGGCAGGAGGGGAAATGTAAGCAGTGTGGAAAGGTAAGATTTCCAGAGCAGCACAAGTACAACACTGGGCACTTATGAATTCAGGGTAGCCAGCAGGTCCTTCTAGTCACTGAAATTTTTCTATCCTAAGCACTTGGCCTCTCTTAAGGGCTGATGACAAGCGTGATATATTGGGTGGTAGCAGCACTGATTCACATGTGGGAAGAGAAAAGGCAGCTGCATCTGAAGGAATGAGCACATGGCATGTCCTGGGACATTGTGCTGCTCCGGCTGATGAAAATGAGGAGGAGGAAGGCTTTGAGCTTTTCTCTCTGTTAAACTAACCCTGTGCCAAGGTGGCGTTCTTATAGTGCTGTGCTCTGTGCCAAAATGGTGACGGCCTATTTTTTCAGGCTTCTGGAAAAAGAAAGGCTATTGCTTTCTTGCTGCTCTGGCAGACTGTAAGATTTGTATGACTGTTTCCCATTTCCTCTGCTGCATAGGTTGTAAAAGTTTATTTCTAAAAAGCTATAAAAAGGAGTAAGAACTACCTTAGCTACTGAAGACCTGTCTTCTGAAATATTATGAACCCCTGAAATCTGTTGAGAGATACTTATAAAATTAAATTAACACAAGGGTATATTTTCCTTTCTCTAGCACTATATTATACTTTTGCTTTCCTCTTACCATCAACTAGTAAGAAAGACTGTGTCTTGTCTCCGTGGCACAGCACTTGAGTCAGAGTAAAATCAGATTTGTATCTGCATACTGGTGTAGGTCACCAGCTACGAGCTGCAGCAAGGCATGCAATGAAAATGTGATGCCCTTTTATAGCAAGCAGCATGAGAACAGTTCAGCAAGGTGCTCTGCATGCAGCATTCTTATGGTATGACTTTGCAGTGATAGTGCCTTCCTCCTTTGCCATTTTGGTCTGGATCTCCCCTAGAGGCATTTGGAGTTGAATTTGCGATGGGAGTACATATTGCCTATCATATCAAAACCTGTGCTGGGTACCTTCACGTGGGCAACGTGACCAGTCCGTCCTAAAATTCCTGTCAGCCCTGACTGATACGGAGAAGTTCAGAGGAAATCACAGCTTTCCCCTTGAATAGGAAATATTTTGTTAAGACTAACATGGGTGTATTGTAGTAGTGTTGCTCTTTGTAAAGAAACAGAAAAGATTAGGGAAAATTATAATAAGAAAAAAAATCTCGTTGTATTTATTGGCCAAGCAGTCTCCTATCACAGCAAAATACTTTGTCTTGTGCTCTGCTTTTACATTTCCTATACCTCTGATTGAGGACCATCTTTTATATTGTCTTGTCATGCAAGAAAAAGTGAACTATAATTGAAATGGAATGGCAGTAAATTTAAAGCAATAAAAGAAAGTATGATTCATGGAATACCTAAAGATTCTGGTAGATCTCTGTGTGATATTAGTCCTATCCCATGGCTGGAATTGGATGGTTAAATATTTTAATGATCATTAATAATAGTTCAAGTAAAGGAAGTAGAAATGAACGTTTAGGATATACCCATTTCATGCTTTGTGTCATAAGCCAGTGGAAAATAATTTATGCTCCTCAACATCCTTAGCCTGGCTTTGTGGCTTTATATTTTGTGTGCCTTCTGTGCCATGGCTGAGACTTCCTGAGAGCTGGAGAACAGGGGTATCTATGTCAGTGTTTCACCTTAGATTAGAAACGCAGTTCAAAAGGAATTTTTCTGATTGCCGTCACTTTCCACAGTTCACACATGGAGCACTCTTGCAGCAAATGAACTGAATTCCTTTTAGATTGAACTTACTTGAAATAAGCTGTTCTAACACTCTGCAGGTGTTAATGGACACTCAGTCCACAGGACCAGACTACAGCTTGTCCAAAGTAAAATTCTCTGAAAATCCTTGTGTATAGTGTCCTCAGTACCAACAGAGACTGTGCTCCCACTGTAACACCTTACTTGCTAGTGCAGATACATCTTATAGGGTCTCCTCTAGGCTTTAGTTCTCTTCTCCTTCCCAGGGGTGTTTTCACTCCTGTACTGCAAAAGTACCATATCCAGAAATCAGTGGCAGGGAAAGGAGTCTGGAAGGTCTTGTTCAAAATCTCACTGAGTGCAGTGGAACAAAATGATCAATTTCTGTCTACTTGCTGTGATGATTCCCCTTTTATTTTTTGGAACTGGAGACTGTAATAGAAGGATGGCCGTATCTCTTAAGACAAAGTATCATTGAGCCCAGTACACAACAATGATGGAAAAGTATAAAATGGGGCGGGTATTTAGTAATGCATCCCTAAAACAGTCTTCTGACCTCATAAAATTTCTGTCTTATGAATTTCCAGGAATGATGCCTTTGTATTTAACAGCGTATAACTTTCTCTCCTGTGATCTTGTCTAGTTGCCCCTTGAGTTCCTGTAAACTTGTAGCATTTACACATGCTTCAGCAAGGAATTCACCAACTTAACTATATGCTGTGAGGTGAACCACATTTTGATTGTTTCAAACTTATCACCAGTTTTTTCCCCCAATGTTTCATAGCTCTTGTGTAAGAAGAGAGGGCAAATAGATGTTCCCAAACCACATTCTATACCATTCATGATGCTGAAGAACTCATTTCTTTCTCTTGCAGGCTGGGGAAAAAAAAGAGTTTTGTAGCTTTTCACTGTTATTAGTTATTTGTTACCTGGGATCATCAGAGAAATTTTGATTTTTTTTTCTTTTTTTTTTTTTTTCTTCACGTAATATATGAGCCAGCACTGTGCCCTCGTGGCCAAGAAGGCCAGTGGCATCCTGGGGTGTATCAGAAGGGATGTGGTCAGTAGGTCGAGAGAGGTTCTCCTCCCCCTCTACTCTGCCCTGGTGAGACCGCATCTGGAATATTGTGTCCAGTTCTGGGCCCCTCAGTTCAAGAGGGACAGGGAACTGCTAGAGAGAGTCCAGCGCAGAGCCACAAAGATGATGAAGGGAATGGAGCATCTCCCTTATGAGGAAAGGCTGAGGGAGCTGGGTCTCTTTAGCCTGGAAAAGAGGAGACTGAGGGGTGACCTAATTAATGTTTATAAATATGTAAAGGGTGAGTGTCAGGAGGATGGAGCCAGGCTCTTCTCTGTGACATCCAGTGATAGGACAAGGGGCAATGGGTTCAAGCTGGAACATAGGAGGTTCCACTTGAATATGAGAAAAGACTTCTTCATGGTGAGGGTGACAGAGCACTGGAACAGGCTGCCCAGAGAGGTTGTGGAGTCTCCTTCTCTGGAGACATTCAAAGCCCGCCTGGATGCATTCCTGTGTGATCTGATCTAGGTGTTCCTGCTCCAGCAGGGGGATTGGACTAGATGATCTTTTGAGGTCCCTTCCAATCTCTAACATTCTGTGATTCTGTGATGTTCAGACTGTGTGGCCCAGCATCCAGTCCATGACTCTGTGCAGTGATAGAAGCTTAAGGATGAATACAGAGTGATCCTTTCTTCATATACCTCCAGTTACCAGTGGTTTAGAGATTTTCTGAGACTGAGAACGCCTCTGGACCATCATGCTAAACAGTAATTTTGTTTAGTTTTTACTTTCTCTGGTGTCCAAAACAGTGTGTCCACTATACACAAACAGTGTGCAGCTACAGTGTCAATCTCTTTCTGTTATTGATCCCTTTAAAGGCCTGTGGGTTGATGAAGAGCAGTATGTTTTCCCTGCATGCAATGGTAGGATTGAAATTTCTAGTTGAAAAGAAATTCTAGTTCCTTGTTATTTTAGCAGAGATCATCATCCAAGTGCTTCTGTTGCTGTCTGTATTTGAGTTGTATTAATATGTGGCTCTCCTACAGTAATAATGCATTGGAATGTCTCTGAGAGCATTAGAAAGGGAATAAATATAATAAGAAAATAGGTGCAAAAAATAAATTATTAGTAGTGCTAACACTGATGTGAAAATACTCTTTAATGATAAATAGGTTTGAGAATATAACCAAAATGCGTTGGAGTTGTAATAGTGATGTGCTCTGTTTGTGTGTGTCTCTACATCAATGTGGGCTTAGATCTCAATTGTTTAGACAGATTGAAATCACCAACACAAACTGTGGATTCAGGTGCTCTTTTTCTCCAAATATATTTCCTCTGGTGTGCACAACTGTTTATTTCCACAGGAGCAGCTCACAGCATGGGATTTCATGTGTTGTGCAGGAGTTGAGTGCCAGTGAATTAGGGCTAACCAGATACTGTTAGGCAAATATTCTCACAAATGTGAAATTAATTTTCTATCCTAAAATGTCTAAATTTGTGCAGAAGACCTCCTTGCATGACTAAGGAAAAAGATAGCTGAATATTAGTTTTTCTTCTCATTGAGAGAAGGCAGAAGAGATTATTTCTGGTGGAACATGGACGGCTCCAGTGTTTCAACCTGATAGTCCCCATCAAATCGCATTGTGACCTGCAGTACATCACTTTATTTCATCAGTTCCTTTATTTTAAAGCTAGCTTTCAAATAATTGCTTTCATACATCAAACACGTATCATTAGAAAGAGTTAGCTCAGATTTCTAAAGCAGTTTGAGGAAGAGAAGTGGTGTTCTGTTGCTACTTATCATTAATATGTTTTTATTGCTGTATAATTTTTCTCTAACGACTCCCTAAAAGCCAAATGGCTTACTGAATAGGTGAAAAACGGTCTATCCAGAACCAGGCAAGCTGCCCAGTCCATATATTTAAAATACACCACTGATGGGCTGTGGAATTAGTATACTGAATTTTAGGTTCTATTAGTGGAGGTTTGGGGAAAGAAGAATTTCTCCCCTGCTTGTTACAGAGCAGAACAAAACCAAGCATTTCATGCCATGAGGGGCTGAAATAATTTTCTTTTATATACTTTGGGAGAAGAAAGAGTAAGATTTTTCAGAAACATTAAGAAGTACTAGTATAAGTGAATGAGAATAGAGTGTTTTGTCCAGTCTCAGACCTTTGTTCCAGCACTTGTGTCATACATACTGTCACTCTTGTTATTCTTGTGCCCACACTGAATGTCAGACTACACCTGCTCAGCCAGAAGCATCTGGCCAGCTTGTCTTTGTGAATCCATTTGACCATACTCCATTACTAAACCTGAAGATGCCAAGTCTCCATCATTATGAAGAATCTGCTCCTTGAATTTTTCTGAATGTAAAACCTGAGGCATTGGGGGAAGGACTGAAAAAAAACAAAACTAGGCAGAAGTGACCCAGGCTTCTTTAGGAGTAAGCCTTAGTTGGTGGTGTAGTCCATCTGGCAAGATGGTTTGAATACGTGCTGGAGACACCCAAGGAAGTAGCTGCAATGTGCGCTTCTGCATGATGGGCAGTCAGGGAGAGCCTCCTTCTCTTCAGAGTATTGATAGGGTTGTCCTCAGCTACCATGTATGTACAGATTGTAGTTCAATCCCTCACTTGAACAAGACCAGTGTGTCTCTGGATGAACTTTTGATTGCTCATTTAATTCTCCTTATTGGTGTGCTTGATATTGTCACTGCACTGAGCACTAATAGGTGAATTTTTCCTGAAGGTGTCCATCATGCTGTTTCTTTCCACAGCAGCTAGGATAAGAAGGACCTTAATTATAGAAGCAGTGAAGCAATGTCCTATTAGATGTTACTAAATCAGATTATAATTCTTTGTATTTGGTCTTAGCCATTGCCCATCATGTAGGAAATTTAGGTAAAACTCAGCTTGTTGAAAAGAAAACTGGCTTACAAATTCACTACTTGGTAGAGAGACTGAATTAGAAAATTTTGGGTGGTGATGGTCTACTTAATGTAGTAGAGAGACTTAATAGAAGCCAATGAATAAAGGATCCATGTGACTGCAAATTTGAAATCTAATCAGTGAAGGTGACTATGGCAAACTGTTTAATGAAGTTCTGGACTGTGCCTCTCTGCAGTCATCAATCCACATCAATTCTTTCTCTGGCTAAAATAAACTTTAACTGAACACAAATTTTTAGGCTGTAACTTACCATATATTTCCTGTGTTATATGCAAGAAGGGTGTATATGACCCAATGGCCTTTTTCAGCCTTAGAATTTACAGCAAAGCTATATGTGTGCTGAAATTGCATTCTACAAAATGAAACTCTTCTATGGGAGAAAAAAAAAAAATCTCCTATTTGTTGGTAATGGTGGGCTTTTTTCTCTTTAAAACTATAAAGAAATATTTACTTTTATCTGTTTGGTCTGAATCAGATGATCTTGCTTTTTTTGGAACTTACTAAAAAGATTTTGATCTGCGTCAACTCAATAAAACAATAAACTTAATTTCCCAATCAGAACATTTCCACACAGACATTGTAGTTCATTCCACTAAAAAAAAAATTCCAATTCTTGTTTATATTGAGAGCAAACAAGACTGCAATGAGAATGTTTTGTTCATCAGAAAATCTGAATCTGGCAGGCCTGTAGAAATCCATTAAAATATGCATTCCTTGTCTATTTATTTATTTTTTTAACTACAAAATGTAAGAAAAAGCATAAAATTTTGGAGAAGTGTTTTTAAAAGTGTATGTGAAAATTCCCTGGTTGAAGAACCTTCTCTGTGAATCCTGTCATTGTTTTATCCCCCAAAAATCTGTTTGGTGTCTAACAGGTTTGAGGCTAAACAGAAGTATCTGACCTCAATGAAATTATTTAGCCTAACACAGTTGCCTGGCAAGAGTTAAAGGTGTACATTTTCTTGTAGTCAGGAGGAATTTAATCCTTGTTTCCTGCTTATTCTAGGGCTTTCAGCAGAAATTCTCCTTCCATAGTAAAGAGATTGTAGCCATCAGTTGTTCCTGGTGCAAGCTGGCGGTAAGTGAACAATACTCAGGGAGACTGGTAGCAGCTTCACTGAGTGGCCCCCCTATGAACAATTTCATTTTTTCTGTCTCTCAGGGTTCCCTCCCTGTAAATCACCCCCAGTTTTGCCATTTCTGTTCCTTTTGCTCAAAGATGCCATAACTTCACATAGCTGACACGAGTCCTCTGGAAGAGTCTTGCTGCACAACATAGTCACTGGCTAACTCCCATCAATGCCCTGCTGCTGCTGGCTCAGACAGACAAAAAGCTCTTAATACATAGAGCTGCAGCAACTAGGTTGTGGTCTTCAATCTGTAGTTTGTGTTTAAGTAGGAGTGATTGGTTTTTTAGGTGTTGTGGTTTTTTTGTGGTGGTTTGATTTCTCCCCTCACTCTCTCCATGAAGGCATGGCTAGGGAAGATGATCTTTGGTTGTATGTTCCTAAAACACCATGTTTTGAAGGACTTGCAGATGGTGGAGTTGGGAACCTTGCTCCAGTTTTTGTACCAGCGCCCTCCTCTTCCTCTCCATGCTTCCCCTTTGTCTTTCTTGGCCTTCTTATTGACTCTACTCTTTTCCTCTCTTCCAGTTTCATAACAAAGTCACCTGTTTCATGCTACATCACATTGAGGAGCCATGTTCCCTGGGGGCTCACGCTGCTGTCATTGTGCCTCCCACCTGGATCATTAAGGTGAAGAAACCTCAGGTAACTGCATGCTGATGTCTGTTTCTGAAGCTGTATGGCTGCGCAGGACCAGCCTGGCTTCACTGCTTGGTACTCCTTCACTAAGGCATGCTTGGTTTAACCCTGTCTATCCCTGAAACCCAGCATACATCCATGGTGATTATGAACCTGTATCCTCCTGCCCCTCCATCCAGCACATCAGTAGGTTTCCCTGTTTGGGACGATTAACAACAAACATGACTTTTGTTCTGAGCAAATCCAGCTCAGGTTTGTTCCTCCAATTGCGAGTTCAGCGAGCATACTGCAAGAAATCCCTTGTGTTGTAGGCAGTCAAGCATGTTTCATTGAATAGAGCTGAGCAAATACAGGGAAAAACTGTTCACAAACATTCACTTGAACAGCAGTAAGAATTGGTTATGACTGGACTGGCATCCCTCTGAATTTGCCATCAATGGACATTTAAACAATCAATTTACATCAGTGCTTGCCGAATGTGAGCAGTGAGCCCATGTGCTCATTTAGTTGCAAGTAACAAGTATTAGACTTCAAAGCTTTTGTAATGGATGTGATACGTCTTGGAGAGGATGATTCATGGGTGAACACAATAGGGTGAAAAGGTATCCAAAAGAGAGCTGGCCAGAAATTTCAAGGGGATTCCCATCATGCAAGAAGTATTTTTTTCTTTGCAAGTCTGTTTTCACTCCAGGTTGAACCGAAAGAAACAGACAAACATTGAACATATCAGGGAGCCAGAAATGCTTGTAAAAGTTTTATTTCAGAAGCACTGATTCTTTTTTTTTTTTTTTTTTTTTTCTGAAATGAATAGTGTCTGGGATATTGGAACTTTCCACTCATGTTTTCTTGTCATTTTCCTCCATTGACAGGAATGCTGGTTTTATAGAGTAGTGGTGTGCGGTTCTTAACATTACTGTGTCCATCCTTGGGAAGTGACCCTAGGCTTTTTGGCTGTCTCCAGATTGTCAACAAGAAGCCGAGAAGTTCAGGCTGTAGACAACGCACCGAGACAAAATTAGTCCCACGGAACATGAAGGAGGTCTAAGTTGTGACAGTGCTCAGTTTTTAGTTCCAGTCCAGGGATATGACTGTCAGATTTGTGCATGAGTAGCATTTCTAATGTGATGGACATTAAAGATGAGGCGGGGAGGGGGGAAGGAGAAATACATGTACAGAGTAATCAAAAAGTCTACTGAAGAGACTGCTATTTCTCCTGTAGGTCCAGAGAGAGTGGGCAAGATTCCTAGCCACCTCCACTCTGAGAAAAAAGGTTTCTTTGGCTTTTGTATTTTTTCCCCTAAACTCTTCTTTCTCTGTTAGCTTTACTCCAGCCTCTTCCAGATAAATCTTTTTTACTCTCTTGTTGAAGAGTCTGTTTTGAGTCCTTGGCAGGGACTTAATCTGCTTGGCTTATTTTCAGCAGCTGTGTGGTATTTGATAGGTGTATACATGTCTGACCTTACTTAAGGAAGCCTTTCTTTGATCTTTTTAATTTTTTATTTTTAGAGAATTTCCTTTCTTGTCCATTATTTTTTCAGAAAAGTTCAAATAAAAAAAATAAATCTTATCTAGTTAATTATAATTCATGTGAGTCATGAATGGAGAGGAAGTACTTCAATCCAATATTCCCTCTCCGTCACATCTCAAGTCCTTGAAATTCACGGTCAGTAGCATGCAAAGCCTTATGTTGAGTAACTTAAACATTAGATAGATCAAAATTATATTTAGCACAGAAAATGGGCATATTTCCATGAAACTTCTTAACAGCACCTGTTGCAGTGTTAGTTCTGGGGAACACATCCTTATTGTAGAAAATACTGACATCTTTCAGATGTGTTTTCAGAATTTTGGCAGAAGTCTTGTTTTGTTATTTATTATTTTTTCTGGAAATATTTTCTCCTCTCCTGCTGTTTCTGGCCAGCTCTACTTCTGTGTATTATGATCTTCTTCACCCTATATGCACATTTGGTAAACATTATGAAATATTCACTGCATTCAATCCACAGAATACAAACACAATATTCACAATTTTTTGTATGTTCAGATAGTAAATATAACCAGCAATCTGTTTTTCACATATTCCACTATCAGAATAAATTTGGCTAGAAGCCTTTTCATGATAAAATATTTCCTCAGCTCTAATTAACTACTTACATTGGTCACAGGCAACTCCTGAACTGAATTTCCTACTCATATGTAGTGGATTTTAGTGGTGCCTTCATCCTGTTTGTTGGTTGTTTCTTTTAAGCAAATAAGATGGCTTTTTGTAGCAAAACCTTGCCCTGATTTTTATTTTCCTTTTTATTGCTACAAAAATGGTTTTCCATGCTTATTTTGTGCAACGTGGGTCACCACCTTTCAAATATTGAGCTTGAATAAAGAGCACACTCCCCCTCTGATTACCAGCAACGTTGTGGTAATGAAGCATCATGGTGTAATTGGTTAAGGACAAATCTCTGCTGACAACCTACATGATAAATGGGGAGTTTTGCTTCTTGCAAGCAATTGACTGCAAGATGAAGAACGTTCAGAATGGTTCAAATAGCCTTGGGATAGGTGGTAGCCCTGTATGTAATGACCCATTTACATGAATGGAATACTCCCACTACCTATTTCATGTTATTCATAATGTGAGCTACTTCTGTAACTTCTTTACTGGTTTCCAGTGTTTCTGTACTGTGTTAGCAGCACTTTGATACCAGGTCTGTTTTCCGGGGGTTCAAAGCAATTCCACCTCCTACTTTGTAAAAACAGGTGTCACCCCTGTTGACTGGTGGTATTTTGTTATAGGTGAGTTTTGGTAGCCCAAGTGATGTTAGCTCTAGAAATGGACTTGTTATATGCTTACGTTGTGGGAGAAAAGTAGATTATAAGGAGAATCTGTCTGATGTACTTAGTCATTCAGTCTGTCTTCTGTTTCGGAAGGCAAAGGCAGTAACTGTAAAATTCAAAATTTTTTCTGTTCAAGGTGAGTAAACATGGTGTTTTCTTCTTCTTGTTTTTTGAGGACCTTGAAAAAGTGCTAGTGAATATTTATCTTTCTGGGTTTATTTCTTTATTTCCTCAATTGATGAGTGCAGCTGGCTTGTCTGACGGTGGTTTGTGAAAAACCAGAAGATGGTCAAGATTGACCTTCCCAGAGGCTGTTTGTTATTTAGGTCATTTGAAGCCCAGCACGCTAAAAGCCTTTGAAAATGAAGGCTGAAATGGTGTAAAAGAAAAGGTTGAAAGGGTCCATTGGATTTGCTTGAGATTGTCAGTGACCCTCACACCACCCAACAGTACACAAGAAGGACTCCAATTCTTCTGTTCATTTAGCTAAGCTTGCTGAGAACTATAGTGACCATGCGATAATACCAACAATCTCTTTTTGAAGATGGCCAAACTGACATCCACAAATGAGAGGGTTCCTCTCTAGAGGCAAGTTGGGATATACATATGGTGCCCATTTAAAGGTATGCTTTGCTATCAGGTACTTCACTGAATAACATTATATGTTTATAAAATACTCATCACCTTGTTATGTGGACAAGGTTGTATGCATCCATTTCTTGAGTTCAGTGTGCAAAGAGCGATGATTACTCTTGGCTTTTATTATTCTGCATGTTTGCAAAGAGAACCTGCATATGTTTAAGCAGCTTTTTTGTTTTTCATGTGCTGTGGACATGCAGTTGCAATCCTTGTAGCAAAGCTTTAGGTTCTCTTAACACTATATGTGTAGGCATGTTTAAAAAAAAAAAAAGGTGAAATAACATAGCTGTGATGTAACATATTTTAGTGCCCTTTTGAGTGTGGAAATGAAAATTGTTATAATAATGAATGGAGGCTTAGACTAAGATTGTTACTCTAACATAGTTTTATGCCTCTTCTCACCCCATCCATAGGCAAGAAAGGAGATACGTTGTAATGGGATTTAATGATAACTACATTTAAACATTCTTTAAATTATTCTTTTAAGGTTAGTTAGGATTTTACTGAACTGTCTTAGCCCTTTACAGAAGAAAACCTCTGGGCTTAGGTCCATCCATTGTGGGGGCAGAATAAAAAGTGCAGTTCTTCTTCCAGAGGCACAGTTAAGTACTTGCCTAATACAAAACTTAACTTGAGTTACAGACCACGATTTGCCAGCAGAATTCACTGCACTTTACCAATAGGATAAATATTTTGGATTTTATGCCTGGAGAGACTGAAGCACTGGCAAAAGACTTGATATGCCCGTGACCTTTCAGCAGCCCACTGTCTGGACTTCGGATAGACTAGATCTCTCTGTCCTGTGGTTTGCCCCACTTCAGGGAGAATCCTTCAGCGGAGAACAGCTGAGGAACGAGGCCAAGGCCCCCACAGGAGGCAGCTTTGAGAGTAGAGTTCCATACCTTTATATTGATGTAAAGACTTTTGTCTACAGTCAATCTGACTGCTAAGGTAGGGCAATGAAAGACCGTGCAGATCATATTGCCGATGCACTTCTGTAGTCAGTGCAGTCTTTATGGTTTACTGTGCTTTCAAGATCGCTCTGTATCAGAGTAGGGAAGAGTATGAACACTTCTTTAGGTGGCATCTTTAGGTGGCATCTCAAAATAATGGTCTAAAAGGTCAAATGTCTTGTCTTCAGTATTTTTAATAAGCAACAAGGCATGACTATATCCTGGTCCACAAGGAGTGTTGAGAGGTGACAAAAAGCTTGGGAACTTGTGCTCTACAGTAGGCTTCTCTTGGTCTGGGTGAAAAAGGACAATGTCTCTGGGTATTTGAGTTAGCTGTTAGTTTTTCTTAATTTCTCAGAGATGTGGAAACATTGACTTCTGTATCTGCTGTGTCATACTGAAGTCTTGAAATTATGCAAGTGGTTGTTATGTATTAAACAGAATCTAGTAGCTCTTTTTGTTAATGTTGGTTAGCAAACAGGATTAAGGATGTCACTGCTTGCGGATTTCATGATCTCTGGTTGTTTACTTTTTTCATTAGTGGTGCACTTTTGAATCAGGTCAGGACAGAAATGAACTTTTGGATGAGCTGAGTGAATCTTGCTCCACTCTTGAAGCCAGAAAAAAAAAAAAAAATCAATAAACTTTCTTCTAATGCCATGTGGTACTTTATTTCCTAGTGGCAGCTAGACTACGAGTTGAAATACTGAGAAAATATTAACAGTATTTCCTATAATACAAAATTTCAGTTATATGGAAATGGATAGGGGTTTCTGCAGGTATGACTTCAGTTACTGAATTAAAATAATAACAATAATGAAAAATCCCCTTTTTGGACTGTTCTTATCACACCAGAACACCTTTGTGGTTCAGTATCACTGAGCAGGCTATCACCAACTTGGAGAATAGCTTTCATGCAAGTTCTAGTTTAATAGTTTCTGCAAAAATACAATCAATTTTATGTTTTTTTTCCTATGTAGTTAAGTGATATTGTAATTTAAAAACAAAGCCAACAAATCCCCACAAACACCCCCCTTCATCCAAATCCTTAACTGTTAACAATTCAGTTTGTTCCTTAGCAGATGATTACACAAGTTTCTTGATAGACTGGAACTGACTCCGCAGTGCCAGCATCATACGCCATGGTGGCCTACGTTATGTTGAGTCATAATGGTTGCCAGAGCTAAAACTTGTTGTTTTCTTTCCTAAAAAAAAAACATGAAAAATATCTCATTTATCATGTTTTTTATTACATCTTTATGCAGGTGGTCTCCATACCAGGAGACGAGCCTGATTGGGCAGGAGACTGGAGCCCCGAAGGGGAAACGGGCGTCTCCTACCCCTATTGGGAGGGTTGGCAGGTACAACATGTGGTGTTATGTGAGTCTATGGGAGCATCTGATCTTTTTTCCCCCTCACAGCGTGGGAAAGTTTCCAGTTCCAAAGCACCAGTCTGGTCTCCGTGTGTGGCTTTCTCCATAAACGGTGGTGTGGAAGTGTAAAGCATGCAGCGCATGTGATTTAAATCTCGAGCATGTGCCAGATACTCTTTATCATTCTCCAAGTGGACATGCATGGAAGAGCTTCGTAAAGAGACTTTGTCTGGGCCTGTCTTCTAAATTTTGTTTTGCTTTTCATGTGTTTTTTTTTCTTTTGACGTAGAACTCACTAAAGACTTCAACGCGGCGAAAGAAAAGAACGTCTTTTAAAAGAAAAGCCAGCAAAAGAAGCAATGAAGTAGGTATTCAAGTGCTTCAGAAATCATGCTTCTTTTGTTTAAATGTCTAAATGTGGACTTTAAGGTGGTTTTTTTTTTTTTTACTGCCATGTTTAATTTTTTTTTCCACTGGAAAAGTCTATGCTATTGAATTTGTTGTGGAAAGAAATCAGTCTTGATAGAACTGGTATGAGAAGTTTTATTGGCTGAGTTGATTTTTCAAGAAACAACATACCAGACTCCAGAAGGACCAGCAGCCTAACAAAACAGGATTCCCTTGAGATGTAAGAGAGTCATCTCAGACCCTTGTTTTCCACTAGGCAGAGCAGGGATGTGGAACTGAGGTTGTGAAATCCATGGTGAGTGCACTGATGCAAGCCTCTGGTCCAATTTGATTTTATTTCCTTCAGGATGTCTCATATTGGAAATACTCTGCTTGTGTGAAAATTGACATTGGGCCAGAGAGAGAGAGAGGAAACAGATGAATGATCTGATGGTTTGGTTTATCACATAGCTTATAGAAGACCTTATTTCCAGACCCTGCCTGGTGTATTAGTTAGTTAGATGAACAACCACCTCATGGTGGACTCACCTCTGCATAGCCAGAGCTGTCTGGCTAAGGCCCTCACTTGGATGCTGGCATAATTGCAGACCAGAAGCTTGAATCTGTGCCTGCCACAGCCCAGGAGAGTGCCCTAACTACTGGGCTCTCTGGTGTCTTGCAGGTGTAGGGAGTAGTGAGGCAAATACCTTCCTCATTGATGTGTCGTGTTTGACTTGTGACATTTGTTCAAAGGTGGGAGGGCTGGCAAGGCCAAGAATTCACGAACAGATGATCTGCAACTAAGTGCTTATACAACTTGTCCGTTAGATGGAATTAATGAAATAAGTGGTTTATCTCATTCTATTTTCCATGGGAAAATTGTTTGTATTAGAAATAGCACTTTATTGGACACATTATTAGCACTGTGTGAATAATTATTTTTTTTGGGTAATAACATTGAGACAAATTTTAAAATGGTTTCATGCTGTCCTGAAATGATTTCCCACCCACCCCATCATCTTACTCAATTTTCTCTGCTGGATAAAAGTCCCAACTGAGCACCACATTAACATGACTGTACTATCTCCAGCACTGGAGGTAGTTTTGTCAGAGCTAGTTTAGGTCTCCTGCACATGTTAACTCCAGGGAAACATACACAGCTTGTACTAAAGCTGTTTCTTGCTTCTCTTTCTCAGGAGAACAAAGGTCGGCCGTTTGTGATAAAGCCTATCTCCTCTCCACTCATGAAGCCACTTCTGGTTTTTGTCAATCCAAAAAGTGGAGGGAATCAGGTAAGAACATCATTTGAATCTAGGTCACAAAGTTTTAGTTTAACAACAGTGTTTCTGCAAATGAGAATAGTTTTTGGTGAGTTGGGTAGGAAGAGCTCTGTGAAACTGAATTGTGGTCATTAGAAGAAGTCCTTGCTATTGAATGCCCTGTCCACTTCAGTGGAATTGTATGGGTGGAATGGATACTGGAATATTTTGAGCAGTTGTGTTCCTATCTTCAGATTCTTGAAAGGAATCTAAAATGGTAGCTTGGAGATTTTCAGAAGATTTCATTTTTCCACAGAAAATTTAGATTGCCAATGAAGTCTTAGACTCATGTTTTATCCAAGAAGTGATTTAATTTTACTAGGAAAGCCTAGTGAAGTTAGTGAGTGTGAAATGACACATTTTTGTGGAATTTAAGAAATCATTACAGGTCTTATACCTTGTAATATACCATAGAGAACAGTTTCAGTGACTAACACAGGCGTGCGGCAGACTTCTTTCTTAAGCTTCTTGGAATTAAAATTTATCCAAGTTGAAAGCTTTGCAGATTATTTCTGCCACTTTTTGAATATCAAATAATCTGAGTACCTTTTGATAAGCAAGGCCTTCTAGTTGAAGGGTTGATGTAAGATATAACAGAGGCCTACAGAGCATGAAGAATATAACAGCTGCTGTTCACCTTCTCCTCTGTTAGAAGAATTGGAGAGAATATAAAACAAAACTGCTAAAACTTGGATTCAAAACAAAGAAAAACGTTGGTCCATCTCACAGCTCTAAAACTCCTTGCCGTAGGCTATTGTGGATGCTAAAATTTTACATGGGCTGAAGGAGAGATTTAGAAGAGAAGACCCTGAAGGTTACTAAAGTCCTGTACCCTCCTCTGGCTCAAGATTTCTATGAACTACAAATAGATGAAGCTGGGAGAATACCTACAGCAAACATCACATTTGTTTTCTCTGTTCTTATACCTTTTCCAAAGCACTTTGACTACTCTTCTTGGTTCTCTACTTAGGGGAAGGTGTCAGACAGAAGAGCCATTCCTCAGAGGGGGGCTATTAAAAATTCCTGACTTGCACCCCCTAGGCTATGTCTGAAATGTATTATTGAATTATTTCAAAATACAAGCTGGCCCCAAGAGGTTCTTAGCCCTCTTCTGCTATTAGGAGATTCCGCCACTTTGTGTCTGGACATATAATGAAGAAAACAAATTGAGTGTCTGGAGTATGAACCCAAGAGTTTGAGAAGACAGAAATTATATCTTTAGGTGATGAGCTGGCCATGCTGGACTGGGTGAGGGAGCATTGTGGCAGCTGTAGGCCAGGGTCCTTGGCTCCCGCTTCATTAGATGGTTGAGGGCTACAGTTATGAGAGTTCATGGGTGGTGATGGTGGAGGTGAAAGCAGTGTCATTGCTTGAAAGTTGTGCGAGACACTGTCTGATGTGATAGTGACTTTGCCCACAAGCTCGTTCGACTTCTTGCTGTCATTGATGGTTGAGGATGGTGTGGGATAACAGAAATTTCTTGTTGCAGTTGGTGAGAAGTAAGAGTGCAGGTTGCTGTGGGAGCTGAACCTTTGGTCTGACCCTGAATGCCTGTTCCTATGAACCATTAATGATCTATGTTAAATTTAGTTCATATTTATACATATGTGCTCTGCCCACATTGGTGGGTTGCTATTCTATACAGCAGTTGTCTGCTGTGCCACTTTCTAGTTTGTTTTTTTCTCAGTATGTTTGCTTTGTAAAGCACGGAAGAAAGGAAAGAGCTCCAAATATCGTGAATGTCGAACCCAATTATTTCTAATAATCATAAAGTTATTAATAATTATTAATAATGATTTTTTCTTTTCCCAGGGCACCAAGGTTCTCCAAATGTTTATGTGGTATTTGAATCCACGCCAGGTCTTTGATCTCTCTCAGGAAGGGCCAAGAGATGCGTAAGTTCTCCAACCTTCAGTGCTGCAGACCATAATTCTTTTCTTATCAGGAAAGCTGTCAAAGATCTAGCTTGGATAGGTTGGTAGACTGCATATTGGCCTTATGTGTCCGGATTTTGGTAGTGGTGTGGGAGTGGGCTGCAGTGGTGGCTTCTGTGAAAAGAGATCACGAGCTACCCCCATGTCAGGCAGACAGTTCCAGGTGGCTCCAAGATGGACGTGCTGCAGATCCCACGGTGCTTGACCATTGCCTAGTGGCTGATCATTGCAATGGGGTGAGGCTGTCTCTGGATTTCCATACATGACAGCAGCATGTCTTCTTTCTGAGGAACTAGCTCAGCTTCTCTGGGCAATAGTTGTGAGCCTCTTCCAGGAGATGGAGAACCTGTCTTTAAAGAGATGATTCTCACTGCTAAGGGTTAAGAGACCATCCTTCTGTGGTATTTCAGGTAGGGATACTTGCTTTAGTCAACTATCTGTTCAGCTCTACTTTCACAAGTTAGGCAGCCCAAAAATGCAGTAATGATGTAAAATCAAATACATACCTGTATAAAAACAGTCCAACTATTTGCTATTCATGCTTCTTGAGCACCCAAGTCTTTTTTTTTTCTGCTGAAACACCTCCATTGCTGCTCCATTAATGATGTATAGAAGCTTTAAAGTATATGTACAGTTTTCAGAGCTGCTAATGGAGTTAAAGGGTGATTAGGTCCTCTGGTCACTCAGTCCTTTATGTGTGAATGTATTCCCTCTGTTGGGAGAGATTTCATTATGCCTCACTTTCGTGCAGCTGAAGGAACAAGTCTTTAATGGGTGTTTTTTTTGGCTCACCTGTTGGTATCTTACAAGAGATATCCAGAGAAAGATCTCTCTTAGATGTTATTGTCTTCTGTGGTGTTAAAGACATACAGTTACCAGCTGAAGGAGCTGTCATGTTCTAGATGCCTCAGAAATGGTGGCTCAGCAGATCCTCATGTGGAACATTAAATTTTGTTTAAAAACCTCAATGTTTATATTTGTTTACTGTAGGATAAGAGAAAAATGGAAGATTTTTATCATCTTCAGAGGGAGCATGAGAACCTGGCCTTTCAGATTTAGCATGGGAACATGCAACACTGATCAAATACTTCTCAGAAGGTGCTACCTAACCATGGAGGAAGGCCCCACTTCACATCCTAGTGGTTTTGTGTGTGTGAAGATGTGAAGTGAGCCAGAGGGCTCAGGCTGGGTTGGGACTGATGCTGCCAGGGCTAATACCTCCTCACTCCTGAGGCTTTTGGTAACACTGAGGGGTTTTTTTGTCTTTTTTAGTTTTTTTTCTTTTAAATTATTTTTTCTGCCTACACCCACACCCTTAGTAATGAATATTGTAAAATTCAGTAGGCGGCGGTTAAACTGTCACTCAGCAAAAGGCATCAAAAGTGCCTACGTTATTGTTCTGACTTTTTTTCCTTTTTTCCCTTTCCCTCCCTTGGCCAGGCTGGAGCTGTACAGAAAAGTGCCAAACCTGCGGATCCTGGCCTGCGGTGGGGACGGGACGGTAGGTGGCCAGGGCCTGGCAGCGTCGTGGTCATTGCTGACGGAGTAAATTCCTTGCTGTTGTGGGTTTGGGTTTCCCACCTCATGATGCCTGCACAGCCAAATAATGTACCTTACGCTTGTGAATTTTTTTTTTTTTTAATTTTTCTCTGTAGCCTGGCCTGTGTAGTGACGGGGCCAGATCCTAATGTTCAAGGTCCTATCTGCTTTATGCACAAAGATTTGGTACAGTTTAAAAAAAAAAAAAAAGAGTGACTTTGCTGGCCTCTTCGCACTGTTTACACAGATCTGAGGGTCTAGCAGGTTAAGTCAGTGTCTGGATGCCATTAAATCTTAACTTCTGCTTCTTCCTACTATTGTCTCTGATGTCTGAGTAGAGTCAAATAGGGTCTCTTCTGTGCCTAAAGAAAGTGAGTTTCCCTCATACTACTAGCCTGGGATCTGTCAGATCCAGATTCAGTAGTTTTGCTGCTGAATTTCTGTATGTGTTTGGATAAGCAAATAGGGTCAAATCTTTAAAGGATTTAGGCACCATCAGTTGGAGACAGGCTCTGCAGTTCAGGGTCTGAAGGCCATGAGTGGTGATGGAGGTATTACAACTGCATTACTCTTTCCAGTGTTTAGAAATATTGTAAATCTCAGCATATGCCATTGAGTGCTTAAATACAGTTGAGAAACTGACCTTTAATCTCTGTGAAGCTAGATTCCCCAAACATGCATTTCATAACAGTTGTAACAGTAAGTATGTTAAAGAAAATGCATTACTGCTTGCAAGGCCCAATGGCTGGCCGGGATAGAGATATGTAGATGTTTAGGGCACAGGGAGGATTTTTTTTTTTTTTTTTTTTTTTTGTAGTGAGCTGAACCCTCACCCTTAACCATCTCTGCTTGAATTCTGGGGGAACTTTGTTCAGCTTCTGTGGGTTCTTTTAAAACCCAAGCTGTAAGGTTTATTAATACTAGTGCTTCCCCTGCAAGAGTGAAGAAAAAAACCTGTGATTAGACTACTGTCTTGCTGGTACCTGGCAAAATAAGGTATTACTGTTACTGAATTGTGAATTTTTCTTGAGAAACATGCAAGCTATTGCTTTAGCAAGAGGCATAAGCTGCAAAAAAGTGTTTCAATCTGTTTCTGAAAGTCTTTTTCTTCCATCTGAGGAAGCCAATATTTTAATGGGGGGAAAAAAGTTTCATCCCCAAATTATTAAAATAAAAATGAATGCAACTGCCTTGAGTCTGACCATCCTTTGTTTTCCCTTTGCTGAGCAGTGCAGGCGACAGGTGGCAGCACCTTCTCGTTGGTATGAGCAGCACTCCGCTGTTAAGTTTGCTGCTGCTCAGTTTGAAGCAAATTAATATCTAGTTATTCCCAAAGCCATTACATCTAGAAATTAAAAATCTATCTCAAATGGACTTAGTGAATATTCAATGAGACCAGATGTTACCTTGCATTGTTGAGGTGAATCAGAACTTACAGTAACTTTTCCATCATCGCTGCTTGCTGTTCCTTTCCAGGGCATAAGTGGAAAGCTTTGCTTTGGAAGGAATCAGGAGCTTCCAGTTTACAGGGAAATGATAGTCTGTGTCATCATTCATTGTAGAACTATGTACGAGGTTTAGAAATGACCTCAAGTTAAATAACAGTGTTGTACTTATAAATTAGTAATTTAAAGTTTCTGTAAAAGCATTTACGAAAGTGGTAGGTATTGTAATGGTACCTGTACCAGTGGGAGGCTGAGGCACAAAAGGATGGGTTAAGTCAGTGGCAATGACAGAGGGCTAATGACAAAAGAAGTCCCGGCCCCAGTGAAGTTATTGGGACTCTTTATTCTGTCTCCTGTTATCGATACTGAAGGATAGATTTTTTTGAAAGGTAGAGGATTACTTATCTCTGAAAATCCCTGCAGGACTTCATCCTACTGTGGTGCCTATGACAGACCTAAGTACCTGTGGTGACATCCAAGTTCATGAGAGTTGCAAGTGATTCAGATGACTGTTGTCAGACAATGAGCTCTAAAATGGGATCACATCCCAGATGAATGCTCTAATAATTGGACAATTGTTTATGATAAATAACTGTCTGATAAATGCTATTTATACAAAATTAAATTTATCCGTCAAGAGACTTGTAGAGACATACCTTAGAACACCAAATAGCATGGTGGTTGCTATACTTACCAGGACATCCCCTCTGCAGTCCTTCATATTCCAGCTGTTGTTCCCAATGCCCATATTATGCTGGGTGCCTTTTGGGAAGATCCAGTGTCATCCCAGTTTGGGTTAAGAATCTGTTTGAAATCATAGTAGTGTTAGTTGGGGGAGGAAAAATCCTGTCCAGCTGCAGCCAGGATTTCAGATTTCTGTCTTATTTAAAAGCTCACATTTCTAGTAGAGACTGCATCTTTGAACACTGGTATCG